GTTGCAGCGGGGCAGGCTCCGGCAGCATCGCCATCCAGCCTTCTGGCCGGTTGGTGCCTTGCGGGGCGGGATGCTCCGCCCGCTCGGGGTGTCCCTTGTGGGAAGCAGTTTATCCCGGAGGGATGTTCCTCTGAGCGCGTTTACAGTCTCCTTATATAATGCGTGAAAGCCGTGAACACTAATCGGCTCTGGAAGCAGCAGAGTCAAAGCCTGGGGGGCTGCTAACCAGGAGCCGTGTCTTGCAGCATGAGGGCTGTTCCTCCTGCTTTTTCATTTCTGCTACCTGCACCAGCTTGACTGCAGGTTTTTGTAGTTTCTTTGGGGCCTTGGGCACAGGCTGGACTTGGTCTGAGCTGGGATCATTTCACTGCAACCCTTGGAAGCATTTGCCAAGAGGAGGGACACCAGCAGCAGCCCCAGCATCTGCTTCTGGCAGCTGGGGAAGTGCAGGCAGGGACCTGGCTGAGCAGAGTTTAAAAATCTGGCATTAAAATGCATGGTGAATAAAAAGATGTGCAGGAGCATTTCTGAGAGCCTTTACCTGGCCTGTGTGGAGCTCAGCAGACATCGTGGGAGATTGGTGGCTGGATTGCAGCAGCCCTTGCAAAATTATCCCACATAGGATTTGACCAGACTCATCCCAAGAGCAAGGGGCAGCAGGCAAACTGCTGATAAGCATTTATCAAAATAAATCTTTCATTGTCTGGAGTCACCTGTATTTCTATTTCTTTGCAGTTTTTATTAGGTTTTCAGGTGGGGCTCCTGACCTGTACTGCACATACACCTGTTGCTGCTCCAACACCTGAAGCTGAGGTTGCATGATGATGGAGTTACTGGAAGGGGATGAGGGCTTTCTGCTCACTGAGGCAGTGCTTCCTGGTGTAGGAGACTTGGGATTTGGGTCCTCACTCTGCTGTATCTCTCCCAGCCTTGGGAAAGTGAGTTGGCTGGTTTCATGCCTCGGTTCCCATCTGCTCTCTGGGGACAGTGACATCTCTTGTCACAGGGGTTTGGAGGACACAGCAGAACTGCTGACAGCAGAGCCCGTGTCAGCACGTGGGAGAGGAGCAGGCAGAGGAGGTTAACACACACACACCCAATTACATCAAGTGCTTCTCTTGTTTTACTTCTGTTACAGAACAAAGCCCCTTCTCATTTGCGATTCCCTTTGATTCATCTAAAGTAAATCATTGATTTGTGCTTATATCCTGAATGTTCATTGATTATTCACTTAGTGTTTAATGTAAAACACATCTATAGCTGGCTGGTTTAAGTGAAGCTGCCAGTCATCTCTGGAAAGCTTTGAAGCCTGCTAAGTGATGGAGAAGTTGCTTTAGTGAGAGGCTGGGCAAGGCTGCTGCAGGTGGGTTTGGATTATCCACCCTCTCCCTGTTCACAAACCCAAACCAGTCACCAAAGTACCAATTTCTCAGTTCATGTGTGTAAAGAAACCAACAAATATCCATCCTAGGGCACCTGGCTCAGCAGGGGCATCCACAGCCACGCACTGCTCTGCAGGAAACCTTTGCACCTGCCTAAAAGTATTTGGAGCTGAAACTATGTTTCATCTGAAGATTTTCTGTGTCACATTATTGTGCCAGTTCTAATGCTGATATTTTGTTTTTCACCAGACAAAGCCCAAGAGACGGTGGGGCTGGGTGGGTGAACAGGGGCTGTCAGGGCAGCAGAAGTCACTTGTCAAATTAAAGGATTATGAAGGCTATTAAAATAAACAAAGGGCTTCAGCAGGGGTTGGCAGGTTAATGCTGTTAGGAGGAGAGGCTTTTTGGGGAGTGCTGATCGAGCATCTCCTTGACAGCTTCCTGATTCAGGGAGAGAATTGTTGTCTTTGATGGAGGGAAATGCATTTTTGGTGGCCTTTTTTTTTTATTTTAAGTGTGTGTGGGGTTTTATTTGGTGATGCCCTTCTTGGGTTTGTTTCTGAGCTCACTTCAGGCTTTTCTTGCAAAGCAAGAACATCGGGGGGGGCTGATTTCTCGTTGAAATTGTCTCTTTCTGCATTAATTGTGGCACTGGCTGCTTCTCCTTCTGTTTTTGTCCCAGTGTCAAGTCACATTTGGGTCTCCAGGATCCATCTCTGATGCACAAAGACGGCTCCCAAACTCCATCTTCCCTCCTGCCTGTCCCTGCCTTGCAGTGACTCCCCTAATATTTAAATATTCCTGCCCTTTTGCACTATGTACAAGATAAATAAGGTTAATCTGCATTTTGAAGCAACCAGGCACGTTTGTGCAAGATGTTTTCATTTCTGCATTTATTAAGGTGGACAGCAGTATCATTAAAATGTAAATCATTAGGCTTTAAAGAAGCTTCTGTGCAAAAACTAATCTCCACCTGTGTTTTATTTTCTTTATGAGTTTTGTTGCATTGCATTGGCCACTTACTTGT